AGTGATAGTAACTTGTTGTGGTTTCCTCACTGAAAGGGCCTGAAACGGCCTTGTGCTAGATGCACTATTGGAAAGGTCTGAAACGGGCTTGTGCTAGACGCACTACTAGAAAGGCCTGAAACGGCCTTGTATGAGATGTTATTGTTACTCCCAGCGATGTAGTTGGCTTGCCTGAACCTGTGATAAATAGTTATTTGGGAACAAGACTATTGGCACACCTTCGTAATGACAAATACGTTGATACCGTTCTTCTTACAGTCGTGTACTTTCTTGTAAGTTGTAGCGCACTTGTTAATTGAACGTGTATTACTTGTAATGTTCACTGCGTTAGCGTAACTGATTGAGTAGCTTGTAGCTGTAAACTCTGGCTGAATTACTTAATTACAATACGCACACGAAGCTCAAGGCATCTTTATTACGTGGCGGTTCTGCTGAGAGATAGTGACTGATCCATGGTGGTCCTGCTAAGTCAGACTGTGTTCCGGACCATGGCGTCTTCACTGAGAGAGAGAGAGAGAGAGAGCGACGATTGTAGCGTGCTTGCTTTATAGGTCTAGGTAGATGGTTACAATGGATAGATGTTTCTATGCAGAGACTAGACTAACTTGCGGACGTTCGAGAATATAGCTTTAGAAGTTTCGAAAGTTTCTTTAGGACGTTCGAAACCAAAGCTTTAGAATATTCGAGAATTTTCGGATTCAAATGTTTCCAAAAATTCCGAGAGCAAAAGGTCTTGAAAATGTTCCAATCCTGAACAATGTGCAATAATAAAAACTACTGTTTTCTCTAAGTCGTTCTATTGGAAATCCTACATGAATGATGAAGTATTTTTTAAGACTGTACAGTGAAGGTTTATGTTAATTTTATTATAATTTTATAAAAAAATTACTAGTTTCACGTACATATTTAGATATTATTCAAATTGTTTCAATTTAATTTTCAATTTATTACTTTAACATTTAATAATATCTATAGAATAACTCATATTTTTTCAGAATGTATCCAGAATGTAATCGATTTAAATATGTAGGGCACCTGAAGAAGTCATGACAATACAAATATGTTTCACACAGATACAAAATAAATAGAAAAACCAGTAAAAATCTGTGTGAAAAATTGATAAAATAATTAAATTTGTGATATTAATTTATAGAGATATGTTTTAATACAAATATACCATCACATTCTGGAAACTATTAAAATGTATAATCATTTATTGTTTGAGAATGCGAGAAAGTAAAATGCAATAAAACATCTGGCAAGCGATATCGTAAAATTCACACTAGCATTCAAACCCTTTCGCTCACAATTATTTGTACTAGTGTCATAAAACATCTGGAAAACTCCAGTGGAACGTGCCCTTTGCTTTACAGAGTAGTGAAGAAAATAAGTTTATTGCTGAAAACCTTCGTGCAGATTCCAAACGAATACCACTCGATATATGAAATATCGAGTACAAAACACTTCTTCATTTATTACAACCCAAAAGTCCCAAACGTGCGACAACTTGTATTAACGCTTAGACTTATTAAGACAACACATGCATTGCCTTCTGTGTCAATCACATCTGGTCGGTCGCCTCCAAAACTGACCACGCCCAAGAGGACCCTTCATCTAGCCAAGTCCCAGAGAAGGGAGAAGCAATTAAGAAGAGATGACCAATAGCAAAAACTCCCCACTTCCGACACTTCTCTGATTAGCATATTCGGAAGTGAACTCGGAAGGAAGTGGAGATGAAGGCGTGCATAATCCATTATGCTGTCTTAAAACGACATCTGATTGGTTAATTAATAGAAAAAGGAGTTCCTAGCGGGGTGGGACCAGTGAAGCGCTGAAGATAGAAAACGGTAACGCAACGAGAAAATCACTTACTCTTTCCAAATACTCCTTACAGTACTGGATAAGTCACGAAGCACTCTCACGGAGGAAAACCAGAGAGACAAGTCGCTTTAGCTAGCTGAGTTTGAATAAGAAGTTCTTTCTACGATTGTGAAATAGTATACAGTTGAATTAATTTCATCAAGACTAAATTGCATAGGATCTGACGACTCGCAACCTTGATTGAGAATCAGAAAGAACCTTCGAATTGCCACATTGCGAGGGAACGTAATAACAAACCAGCAAAGAGAGACAAGAAAAATCATGATACACTGCAAGTAAGTCCTTACAGCTAGTACTCATTCTTGATTTCTCGGCTTAAGCACGGAAGGACGAATTAATGTCCAACTTCGCAAGCTTCCCGGACATACATTAGCGCAAACCAGCTATAAC